TAACGAATTACATTACTCACAAGCTACTACGAGCTGCTCACATGTGTGCCTCATGAAACATTTTTATTATAATATTATTATTATTTATTTTACCTAATCTAATCTTAACTAACATAAAAGGATCCTTATCTTTACATTTTAGTTACTTTTATAATTAGACACAGAATAAACATGAAAAACAAGAAATAAAATACTTAACCAATCTTCTTTTTTTCTTAATGTCATTTATCGAAGAGATTTAACCCTAATTTTTTATACTAATAATAGTAATGCACTTAATAATTTTTATTTAATTAAATAATGCACCAAAGAATATATACTAATAAAATACAAAAAGTAGGCAAATTCCCTTACCTCTCACAATTTTTCAGGCTTTCTAACTATGCGACAGGAGTCATTACAAATTCATCCAAGCTAGTCGTTAACTTTCCCACAGGAACGATGTTGCTACTCCGAGTGAAATTGACATTTAACCGTTCAGAACATAACATTATACAATACATCGTTTGAAAGATGAAAATGTTGACTTTCTATTGGTTATAGGTAATATATAATTAAACATAACAGAGAACTATTAACAAATTCTGAAAGATAGGATGTGACAGGTAGGCATGGCAGGAGGGGTTTGATTTTCTATCCTATAACCAAACAAAATTGAAGACTATAAAACTTATGGTTTGTCTGAGCAATAACAATTTTATAGAGTGTAATTTACATTTAATTTTGTACTTTTTCGAGGGTGGTGTATAAAATAGGGAAGATGACATGCTAAGAGAAAATGTGTCATGTGAGTCACACTAGGGGAAATTCAGGATTTTTTTAAATATTACCTTATAGAATTAAAAACTTAAATCTTATATACTATGAAAATATGGATCATAAGCTAAGATTTTATGCCATTCTAATTGGTATAACATAAACAAAATCTGGTTTAATAAAAGTTTGAATGTGAGACACTAAAACCTTGTGTCATGCGGAGTAAAGGATACCCATGGCAATAGGGTTAATTCAGCTGTAATTACATTTCATTTGATGCTCCAAAATAAATTTTTTCAGTTGTAACCAATAATTTGCCTTTTGTTTTAATAATGATGTTGTAGTATGAAGCATCAAAGTGATGGTAATGTAGCAGTTCTAGATACGAGTGAAACCCTGACAGTTCTAGTGTTAAACTATTGTATCTAATGATTAAAGTAGCTTCTAGTAAAACATGGGCATCCTTCACAGTTTTATAGATACAGATATTCACAGATAAGAGTGTTAACCATTTTAAAGAATTTATCTACATCCTAACCCAAATGTATTGAAGAAAGACTGGAGAAAAAAAAGTTTGACTTTGAGACTAAACAGTTTTTGCATATAACTCAAAACAAACTTTTATTTCTAAAGATGAGAAAAAGCTATACCAAACCAGGATTTTTATAAAACATTGAAAAAATCAAATACTATATACTTATTCAGATGTTGTCACATCTCTCAGTGTACCTGAAAATTGACAGTGTACATAATTTTTTGGGTAGTTATTGTTTTTTTTTCTGAATTTTCACAGGTAGCTTACTAGTTTATAAAAGTAACGAAATAACAAAAACAGTCTGATACTATTTCAATGAGTTAACTACCTCCTAATTTTGAATTAGGCTACTAATGATTGTTAAAGCTAATTTCACAGACATAATGAAACAATGTAGGAGCACAGCAAAATATTGCAACAGTATTCAGTTTCCCAAGTTAATATACATGTTCATCACTTAAATGTTCCCATTCTTAAAGCCAACTCAACTAGTCTGAACATTTGTAAAATTTTAGATTGTTCATGAACATTCACACACCTATGTATAAGTAATGTATCCTCCACTATTAAAATATGTTGAAATATGAAAAGTAATTCACCAATTATCAGTGCTTGCATCCATGTGGTCTTACTGTATTAGACAGTTGTCATCTGAACATGTTTATAGACAGAAAGAAGAAAAACCCACACAAACACTGCATTCTTCTTCATATATTACATTGCAACCTTGAGCCCACAGATTACCTGGTGTGGTACTATGCCTAGAAAATAACACCAATAAAAATCTTTTCTGATGATAAAGAGTACACTTTTGTTTTAATTTTTAAATATTATGTACAAGTAATACCAATAAAAACTTATTAGTTGAATGTGTTGATTTGTGTATTATAAAGCAATAGCCTTTTAACTCTTATTACCCATAGTTCGATAATTATATGAAAATGAAATGTTCCACCTACTATAATTAATCAAAAAATTTATAGGAAAAATACAGGTATTCATTTTGGAAGCCAGCCATTTCCCTAAGATTGAAATTCTGCCATGAGCTCCATGATATGCTTCTATGAAAACTGTACCAACCCAGAGTTTAATCATACTTTCAGTTGCACTGTTCAAAACTTCAAAAATCAAATTAATTCTGAAGGACATTCTATATTTGATACTTATGCTTCCATAATTTACAAAAACAGTGCTTTAAAGTTAAAATTCATTATTCAAACAAAATCCCAAAATTAAGTAGTGGCAAATACAAATCTTATTTTCAACCAAGGGCTTCTATCAGAACTATCTGAAATGGCACAAAAAGACACATGAAGTCATTTATGTGTACATAAATGCTATACTAACCCTGTTTTAAATGATCGACCAAGATAAAACCCAAGGTGCAATATGGAAAAAAATTAGTTATCCAAGAGAGCCAAGAGCTCCTACCTCAACATTTTACAACAAAGTATCAAAAGATTCCTGATTGGCTGCAGTAAGAAGATACCTAGTGGTGAGAAAAAGTAGCAAGACCATAAAAGTAGAACTGGAGTGCAAAGACTTGGTACACATAAAGTTAAATTGATCAAATAAAAGCATAAAAAAGAATGATTCATGAAGCAAATACAAAGAATAACATGCACAACATATGAAACTAACCAAGGAAAAAATTCAAACACCTTATAAAAGGATTACCTACCCAGATGGATATGAGAAATTTTGGTAATTTGTTATATTTTAAAAAGTAGTCAAATTTCAAATTACCATTTCAACAGTGGCAATCTCCTCATGAAACTAATTGTTTTATTCTTTTGGCAAATGTGTCTAAGATAAGAAAGCTACCTGATGTAATCCATGTTCCCATTTCCTTTTCTGCCAGCAACTCAGAGTTCCTCACATTCAGTCTTTCTACCGTTTCTTGTAAAGCTTTGATACGAGTTCGCAAGTTATTGTTCTCAGTTTGCAACATTGTATTCTCATGAAACATATCATTTATTTGTTCTGTTCCATCTTCTCCAACAATCCTCTTCCCCTAGAAACACCAAATTTATACCAGAAAGTTTTTCTGTAGAATGTTAAAAGCTTCATGGCAGACTTACTAAATATACTGATTAACTTAGTTCTATTAAAAAACTTAATTTTCAGCAATAACAACAAGCATAAATTACTTCCAGTAAACTGCACATATTAGGTGAGTTTTCAGTTTACATCATCTCTTCAGAATTTTCTCATAGTTCTGGCAATACACCCGAAAGCTACCTAATAAATATTTTTTATTGGCAGTATTAAATTTTGTTTTTATTTGTAACTTCATAGCTTTAACAGATGAAAGTACCTCGCTTTATATATAAACTACGTTCACAAGCTGTGCAGGCATTGCCAGTAAATACCCTGTTGAAGAACAAGCACAAGAGTTTTTACAGATGTTAGAAATATTGACAATTTTACCAATAGAAAGTACAAAGTGTGTGAAATGAGCATGAATTTAAAGTTACATAATGAAAACAATTTCAAAAATTGGATCTCAATATGAAATTTTTTTTTTATCAAACCTCAGTAATATAGTTAATTAAGTTGGTTGCTTGTTGTTAAACACAACTTAATTAAATCTAAACTACATAACTTGTATTTTATCACAAACAATTTGTCTGTCATAAACAGAGTTAATACACTTTAGATATAGACAACAGTAACTGAATAACAAAAAAACAGTTTCTAAAATTAATTATCAATGACTTAAAAGTTAAACTAATTCTGGTGAAATTTAAAATCTACTATAAAAAACATGAGTGGATGCCATGAAAAAAATATCTGTTGAGGGATATTCAATAAATACAAAACCTTTTCACTGAGCGTACATGCAGTAGTAATGCAATAAAACTTTTGTTTTCAATTTCTCCTGCATCAGAATTGTCTGGTCTTGACGGTTAAGAAACAATGAGTTTTTCTTAAAGATAATTTGTATAGATGCTTTCAATCAAACAGTCACGTAAACAAAACTTGATTTTTTTTAAATTAATTTTCGTTATAGATGGAGTCAGTTCATAAAAAAAATCTTAACTATTATTACTGTTAAACTTACATCACAAAAATATGAAAAAAAAAGGACATTCAAATATTGGAACTAGATAAGGTTTTACTTCAGAAAAACTTTGGGAAGTGAACTAGATCCAGAAATTTCCTATAGGAACATGATAGCGAAAGTTTTGTTTGAGCAGAATAAGCTGGTAGATGTGTAAACTTTTACATCCTGCAAAATGTTATCATTATACTGTGAATTATAGGAATCATATTCTGGGACCCTTAACGAAAGACCATGCCTGTCTCAACTATGTTAAACTAGTTGACATATTCCTTGAAGAAAAGAAGAGAATTATAAAATGTAAAGATCTGAGTGCTCAAACTTCAATCCCAATGAGCATGTATTGGATGCTCTTGCAGAATACACCACAGCCCATCAAATGATTTCAGAAACTAAAAATGTTCTGGAAACAGATCTTTCACAGGAGTGATTGAGGTACATGCAACATCAGTGCCAGGCTGTCCTTTTTGTTCATTATCTATGCTCCATACTGAAGTTTCATCAATAGCAACAATGTAAAGTTACTTATATCAATTGTTCACTTATGAGCTTAGGATAAATGGCCCATCACTTGCTTTTCAGATAACACATTCTTTCATGCTTACCCTGTAGAAAAACAAAAATGTTAATTTTCACACTAGAGTAAGAAGGAACACAAATCATACCTGTTTATACTCCATTAGCTCTAACTGAAGCTGCTGGATTTCACGACGGAGCAGAGTAATTGTTTGACTAGACTTATCCTGATTTACCATTACCCTGTTTTTGATATTTTTAGCTCTGTTGGCATATTTCAATGTGTTTAGGGTTTCCATAAAGTCCCGGTCAGATGGAGAAACACAGGCTATCATCAAAGTTTGACTGGTGAAAAGAAATAAATGTGTGTATATATATACATATTAAACAAATATCTGATTTAAGAATTAGTGATAATCTCATGTTTTAAAGGTGAAATTTACAAAGTATATGATATGATATTATGTTCCGAGAAATACTATACATGAATGTGGTAAACTCTTCTCTGATAATGCTTGCTGTAAAGGGTAAGCATTAGATGTCCAGTACATATGAATGCTCCTGGTATAAAACAGTCAATGTCTTGAATGTTACAGGGTTCTCCAAAAGTAATTAACTAAAGCTATAAAGTTCATCCCCTCATAACATTGATAACTTTATATTTACTGTTTTGATATTTCTTCTAATATTTTGTAACTTAAAAATACCCTGGATTATTATTTTTTAATTCTTACTCCTTAAAGTAAGCAACATATAAAGAATTATCAGAAAAAACAAAATGGTTCAAATTTATTACATGACTATCATTAACAGGGAATAACTTCATTTATTACTACTTCATAGACAGTTACCAAACATTAATCATTTAACATTATTTTGGTTTTCTACTATTAACATTGCTCAAGTATTAATTTTCTAACCTGATATCTTACAGTATTCAAAATATTTACCTATTTCCTCCTAAAGAATCCTGAAGCAACCTTGTAAGTTTAGAATCTCTGTATGGAACATGAGTGACTTTACGTGACTTGTCCCCTAGTGCCGAGATGACATTTCCAAGAGCTAAAAGTCCACAGTTGATTGAGATTCCTTCTTTAGCCCTATCTCCAGTTGCCCCTGTTCTCTTTAGCCTCTCTGAGCCTGCCAGATCCACAAAATGAAACTTAGCTGTTAGTGTTTCAAATTCATTCATCACCTCACCATTCTGAGTTGGAGCTGATATCTCTGTACTCTCATCAGAAGAGAGAGATAAATGAGGCTGGAAAAAAAAAAGAAACTATAAAATCCACATGTTTATTAATTTTTAATTGTAGTAAAGTTAACACATCTCTAAAATGAATGCTTAATATGTTTTTTCTCTACAATTTAGCTTTAATGAAATAATCATCTACAATATTAATATACAGATATATAACTTTATAGGTTTGAGAACTTTAATGGACTGCAACTGTCTGTTGAAGGAAAAAAGAGCTGAAGATTTTGCTTCTATACTAAAGACGTCAGTACAGAAGTCAAAATGTTGTCTCCTTTTCTTTCAAAAGGCAACTACAGTGAATTAAAGTTCTGAAACCTACTGTGTCTACTTTGAAACTACATAACATTCTTATTTATTACCTGTTAACTTGGTAGTTACATTCAGAATATAAATAATGTAGTTTATAAATCTCAAGTCTTGTTAACTTGGTAGTTACATTCAGAATATAAATAATGTAGTTTATAAATCTCAAGTC